AGCCACGGCGAGGATCGGTCTGGAGCAGGTACTGACAACATCCGTCACCCGAACCGCCACCCGACAGCCCACCACGCGCACGACCACCACGTCCAGCGGCACCACCAGCACCAAGCCACCCAGGCGGGAGACCACGCGCCCGCCTCTGCTGGTGCGGCTGGTGCGGGGGCTGCGGCTGCGGCTGATGCGTGTCCGGCTGCGATACCTGTGGCTGCTGAGACGGCTGCTCGGCTGCACTTGTCAGGGTCCCCTCGTCAGCGCCACCACTAGGCGACCCGAATCCACCACCACCTCCACCTGCACCGCCACCCCCACCGCCGCGCCCAGCCTTGGGGCGGCGGCCCTTCTCAGAATGGATCATCGCTGCAGCTGCGACTCAGCCACAGCAGCAGAACCGTCGGAGAAGGTGCACAGGGCGAGGGCATTACCCTTAAAGATAGGGACCGACACAGTATCGCTGGTCTGGGCGATAGAGCGCTGGCGGATCTCTATGGCAGACAGGGTGTCAACAAAGGCAGTGGAGGTGAGGTCACCAGGGTGGATGCTAAGGAAGCGGTCGCGGGCAGTAGTAAGACGGTCAGGGATGCGGGTGGCAAGCAGGTAGAGGGTAGAGAAGAGGGGCGGCTGAAAGGCTGTAAGCTGGGTCTCAGTGCTGGCAGCGCGCCAGGTCGCATCTATCGTACAGAGGTGAGCAGCGAGGTCAGCGACATTAGGGAAAGACGCAAGGTCAGGGAAGAGCATTGGCAGGATCAGGCGACCTACAGAGGCACCAGTAGGGGTGGAATAGCGCTTGACTACGGCATCGAGATATTCTTGCGCAGTCGTGACTGACCTAAAGCGGGGGCGCTCAGACAGGGGGAGGGCATGACTGATCACAAGCTGCACGACGGCGTCACGCGACAGCCAGACTGAGCGGGCAATGGCAGCAGCTGCGCTGGACTCAAGGTCAGCGGACGTGGGGTCAGCGGGCAGGGGAGCAGGGGAGTCGGGTAGGGGAGCGTACTGTCACGGTGGACCGCCAGGGAGTGGCCGTCCTGTCGCTAACCAGTGAGATGACAACGGAGGTCAACCAACCACATATCAAACTCGAGCGGCTGACCCTCGGCGTCGAAGCGGAGAACGGAGTACGCCATCAGGAGCGATGCAGCAGCGGTGCAGTGTTGTGCAGTGTGGTACAGTGCGGTGCAGAGCGGTGCTGTGCAGTGCAGTGTGGTGCAGAGCGGTGCAGTGTGGTGCTGTGCGGTGCACGGCAACAAACTGGGCACGGAGGGCTGGCGGCGGGCCGGCTGACGTGGAGCGGGCGCGGTTCCGAAGAGGGGCTGGCACAGGCCCGATTAGGAACGGGTGCGAGGGCCGGCTGGGAACAGGCGCGGGAGCTAGCTAGGACCGGGTCGCGGGGCTGGCTAGGAACGAGCGCGACGCCGACTAGGGCAGGCGCGAGGGCCGACTAGGAACGGGCGCGGAGGCCAGCAAGGAGCGGGCATGAGGGCTAGGCGGAACGGGTGCCAGGGTGGCTAGGAACGGGCGCGCGGGGCCAGCTAGGAACGGGCGCAGAGGCCGGCTAGGAACGGGCGCGGAGCCGACTAAGGGCGGGCGCGGGGCCAGCTAGGACGGGGGGGGCGTGAGGGCCATCGAGGGGCCAGCTAGGAACGGGTGCGGGGCCGTCGAAGGGCGGGCGTGAGGACAGCTAGGAGGGGGAGCACGGGGCCGACAAGGGGCGGGCGCGGGGCCAGCTAGGAGCGGGCGCGAGGCCGTCGAAGGGCGGGCGCGGGGCCGACGAGGGGGGGGCGCGAGGCCAGCTAGGACCGGGCGCGAGGGCCGACGAGGGGCCGGTTAGGAACGGGCGCGGGGCCGTCGAAGGGGCGGGCGCGGGGCCGGCTAGGAAAGGCCGCGGGGGGCCAGTTAGGAGCGGGCGCGGGGGCGACTAGGGGCGGGCGTGTGGGCCGACTAGGAGCGGGCGGCTAGGACCTACGGGCGGAAGGGCGGGTGGGCGGTGGGACCTAACCTACTCGTGATACCATATCAGAATTGAAGAATGGTTAGAATAGGAAAGTACAAAGAAAAATAAGCTTGGGAGTTGTACCCTCTAAGGCACAAACCTGTATAGTCTACAGTAATATACTAAGATAAGATTGACACTACTTAAAGAAGTGCTAAAGTAGCTAGGCATAGGTTTTACCACAACATAAACTAGGTTAGGAGCTAGGCTTAGGAAAGTAGCGAGAGGTTTTAGACTAGGAGAAAATGTCGAGAGAGAAGAGAATGAGATTGGAAGAGAGGGTGATACAAGGAGGGAGTTCTGCTCTATACAATAGGATTCGGCGAGATAGCACACCTACTAAGCCTAACAAACATGGTATATAATCTTAGAACTGAATGAATGATTGAGTAGTGAGAGAGTGCAAGTGAATATACCTAAGTGTTGTACCCTCTAAGAGGTGCCCCTATACAGTCTATGCAAACATTAGAGATACACATGTTTGACACACCCCCTAGACTGCATAGGGGCAGGTCCTGAACAAGCAGCTCAAGGTGGCACTACTTGTCCAGCCACTGAGGCAAGGGTTTAAAGATCAGTCAAAAGGAGTACAGGCAAGCCAAGAACAAGACCAAGGCGGCACTACTAGTCTAGCCACTGGGAGAGGACACAAGTCCAGTCTGAGTACTTATAGATATATAAGACAGTACAAAGTCAAGGCCCTAGCAAGTGAGAGGCTACAGGAACTAGACCAAGCTGTACACAGTGCCGCTGATGATCTTTAGGCGCAAGCACCTTCGTAAAGATATCAGCTGTGTTGGCACCGGAGGAGGCGCTCCTGGGGGCGCTGCTGGAGCTCACGCAGGAGGAAGTACCGCAGCTGGATGTGCTTCGCTCTGCCCTCAAGTCGAGGCTCCTGACACAGGAGGATCATGGCCCTGTTGTCAGCGTACATGACCGGGGCAGAGCTAGGCCGCTCACCTAAGTCAGTGAGCAAGAAGGTCAGCCAGCGGAGCTCTTGAGCTGCCATGGCACCGGCGTAGATCTCGGCCTCACAGCTAGACTGGGCAACAGACGAGGAGCGGGTAGCTCTCCACGAGACGGCACCTGAACCAAGGCTGAAGCAGTAGCCCTAGGAAGACCTGAGTGTCTCGGCGTCGTCTGCCCAAGAAGCATCTGTGTGTCCAGTAAGGACCAGTGACTTGCGTCCTCCTAGCACTAACCCCATGCCCGATGTACTTGCAAGATAATGCAAAACCCTCTTAGCGACAGACCAGTGCTGCGGTCGGTGTCTACCTGTGGCCACAAAGCGAGCCAGGATGCTGAGAGGGTATGCAAGATCTGGGCGAGTGCAAGTCATCAGGTACATGAGGCAACCCACCAGCTCAGAGTAAGGACCACAGGGCTCTACTGACTCCTCAGGAACTGGAGCGGAGAGTCTGTGGTCTACAGGCAGAGGGGTGGGCTGTGCAGAGGAGAACTGAAGGCCGAACCTCTGAAGTACCTGGCGCACCAAGTGTGACTGAGTCAAGGTGATGGTGCGCGCTGCTCTGTCCCTGGAGATCTGCAAGCCAAGGTTGTGGCGCAGTTCTCCAAGGTCAGTACAAGTGTGTCTCTTCAGCAGCTCTGCCTTCACCGAGGCCAGTGCGTCCCTGTCTGCTCTAGCAAAGACCAGATCGTCCACGTAAACAAGGATGTAGAACGGAGTCTGGCCAGCACGAACGAAGAGTGAGGGGTCTGCAGAGGACGGAAAGAACTGCAGGTCAGCAAGGGTAGCACGCAGCGTGTCGTGCCACTCACGGGGAGCCTGCAGCAGGCCGTAGATGGGACGCCGCAAGAGCTCTGGGTCCGAGGAGGGAAGGTGCCAGTAAAGCCGTGAGGGCGACGCTGGTAGACCTGCTCGTGTAGGCTGCCCTGAAGGAAGGCAAAGGAGAAGCCGAGGGAGTGAAGCTCGTAGTCACGCTGAACTACTAGGTGTAGCAGAAGCCGAAGAGTAGTCATCTTCGGGGTAAGAGCGAAGGTCTGGAAGAAATCCACCCCCTCACGCTGACTGAAACCTCTAGCCACGTAGCGCGCCTTGAACACAGGCGGCTCTCCAGGAGGGCGCTTCACCTTGAAGAGCCAGAGCCCATCGACTACGTTCACCCCAGGCGGGGAAACTGCGTCGACGAAGGTGCAGGTGGATCTCCAAGATGCCATCTCCTGCTCCATGGCAGCTATCCACTGAGAGGCTCAGGGTCCCGAGGTCGCCTCAGCGTAAGTGCAAGGGGTCGGGATGTCGAAAGCGTCTGGGTCACCCTCAGGGACTAGCAGCATGGAACAGAGATGGGGAGCAGCCTCGGACAGGAAAGCAAGCTCGAACTGGCGGTCCTCCATGACGTCACTGCCGAGGGTAGGAGCACCCCCGACAGACGGAGGACAGGCAGGGTCAGAGACCAGAGCGGTGGCGTAGTCAAGGCGGCGGGTAGAGGTGAATTCAGCGACCGCAGCGAGAAGGGGGTCAAGACTCGAAACCGGAACAGACGGGTCGGTAACGAGAGAGGCAAGGACCCCAGGAACAAGAGGAGGAGCGGTTAAGCTGGTGAGCAGCGTAGCGCACGGCGAACGGCCGTGCTCCCCCCCCTCTGTCATGAGAGGGGTACGTACAAGAAGGGTGTTGTACCCTCTACAGTAGGATCCAGTATTGTAGCACACCTAACCTACAAAGGCTACACAGAACTATATATACAGTATATCATATATATACGACACCCACCCCCACATGAGCATGACAGCCACTGGAGGGTACCTGTTGTGTGGGATTAAAGTGGTAACACCATGCAACAATTGGTAACATGATGAAACGCTGTAACACCATGCATCCCTAGCATGCACACACACTGTTCTGTTCAGCATGTGTCTTCAAACGATCAAGTGGTCATTTTGCTTGCTGACATTGTTACCGGCTTCCGGACTTTTTTAATCCCTGCCAGCCCCACTCCACCACTTGTCCTGGTGCCTAGATAATGCATTATAGTGAGCAACGGATTGTTGGTACGGAGAAACATATCGCTAGCTCATGAAGTTACCAACAAAAAACACGTCTACTAGACTCATCAAACCCAGAAACATAACAAAACAATAGGTGCGACAGCAGGTAGGGACAGTCTCACTTCCACGCCCCTTTATTATTTATCGCCATGCATCACCCTCTTCCATGCGTCTCTCACAAGGCTAGTGAGAGCAGCTCTCCATCCTCCCCTCATCGCATGAAATGCCTAGTAGGGAGTGGACCCAATCATGTTCCCCTGCGGCCAATAGTCACACACACAAATGCCCCCCCCATCCGCGCACTGGGCAGCAGCGCACCCAACATGCGTGGTATCCCGCCACACCACCTGTGTGTAGTGCCCGCACTGCTTGCCATCCGCACACCCCTCCGGCACGGCACTGTACGTCCAGTCCTCCTTCTCTGCCACGCACGACTGTACTGCCGCCCGGTCCTCAGCACTGTTCAGCTGCACAGGCGCCTTCCAGTACAGGTTCTGCCCGAGTCCGTCAGCCCCTCCGTGCTCCAGGTTGCATCCACTGGAAGCGAGCTCAGCTGCCCACTGCTGCGCTGCGAGTGCCACTCCCTCGTCCCATGCGAGGTCCGGCACTCCCACTTCCTGCCGCGCCTTGTTGTGCTCCTCCAGAATCGCTGCCACGTCCACACCGCTGCTACCGTTGCTGCCGCCATCACCACCGTTGCTGCCACCATTGCCGCTGTTGCCATCAATGCTACCACAATCCATTGCCACTGGACTGTGGGCGCAATCATTGCTGGTGTCGCCGCCACTGCTGGTGTCGCCGCCACTGCTGGTGTCGCCGCCACTGCTGGTGTCGTCGCCACCGTTGGTGTTGTCGCCGCCGCTGGTGTCACCACTGCTGCGGCGGATCAAAATGAGGCGGTGCTTCCTCCGGAAGGTCGGAACAGTCACCCACTATAGCGGCGTATCAGAAAGGTCGTTCGGAAAGGTCTGAACCTTCTGATCCTAAATCCAGGATCACCCTAGGTTTCCTATATATTCTATTGTCTTTCATTATACAGTCATTCACTCGTTCACATTTTCGCCATTGCTCTCCCCGCTACTCGATAGTTCCATTCATAACACAATTTGTTATGAATGAACAAGAAGAGAAGCACGGAAGTGAATATCAAAGTGTTGAATAGCTGAATGACGTCAAGCACAGCAGCATATCGGGAGATGTGAAGGTTGTTGTGACAAAATTGTACTTTAGCATTTCTGTAAGTAGTTCCGATAGATATTGTCGAGTTACAATGTAGTTAGCATCCGTAGAATGATGTCAGCAAATAATGCTCGCTCGTCCGGATGATTACGTCACGCGAACAGTCGCGCTCTTTTCAGTAGCGGTTAGAGCGCATAGCGCAAACAGTTTTGAACAGGTACATTATTGAATAGGTGCTTCTAGCAGATATAAAAGTTGCTTGTACAACTTCAATTGTTAACATGTTCTTCAGTAAATTCTGGTCAACACTTAACAAATTCCAAGACTTCCGCTGTCTTACTAGTCTACCATTCCAGCAAAGATCCTTGGTTAAGTCTTGAAGTATCACAAGGCTCTAACACTGAGTCTGGTGTTACAACTTGTTAATACTGGCTGTTACTAGAGGTACTTCCAGTATTACTTTCTATTTCAAGTACTTGCGTCTGTGGATTCTATACTTAGTCTCGTGCACCACCTTTCAAATTATTTCATGGTATGAGAGCTGTATGGAATTAAGACTATCGTCAATCATGACTGGACCATTGTTTGCCCCATCATCTGGTTCCTCAACAACTGGACCTATAGGTATTACAAATCCTACAGTCATCACTGGTCAAGGAGGTAACTCTGCAGTTGGAAAATTTCCACCTGCTTATTCTTCGATCGAGATGCCTCTGTTGTGGTATATTTCATACTTTGCATTTCTGTAAGTCGTTTATCGGTAGACAGTGTCGAATCTTACTGTAGAAGATAAGTCCGTAGGATGACGTGAGCAAATAGCACTCGTCATAGGACTGTCGTTTCAGTCACGCGAATAGTCGCACCTCTTCATTATCATTTAGGGCGCATAGCGCGATAGTGACGAACAGGTACATTAGCGAACAGGCACTTTCCTAGAGCTATATATCCTTGTTATGCCTTTTTGTTATTAACCTTGAGATTTCAACTTTGAGAACTTTGAGACTTAACTTCTGCAGAAACATATACTCAGGTTCACTTTTACAAGACTTCCACTGTCTTACTAGTCTACCATTCCAGTAAAGATCCTAGGCTAACACTTAAGGTTTTCCAAGTGTTCGTGTTTGCAGATTTTGTACTTAGTCTTCTGCAACACCTGTCGAAATACTACATGGTATGAGAGCTATCTGGAATAAAGACTACTGTCAACAATGACTGGTTCATCACCAGCACCGTCTGCCGGATCAACTTCCGGAACCACTAGAGTACATGTCTCCACGACCGCCATTGGTCTCTCAGCCTTTGGACCATTTCGACCAGCTTATGCGCATATCGGTATGCAGCAGCAGCAGCAGCAGAATCCGTCTTTTGCCAATATTCCAGGGATGTCATCAACTGCCCCTGCAGTACAACACCAACAAACACATACAACAGCACAACAACAAGCATCAGTTCAACAACAGTCGTCAGTACAGCAACAAGCAACATCGCAACCACCATTTTCAACGCAGTCAATATCTTCAGCGTTCAGTGGAATGAGCCTTGACGGCTCAAGTTACATGCGTGGAACCTCAGCTCCAAGTACTGGTTCATTCGCTTTCTCACCTTTTGTGCAGCAGCCGCAGTCACAACAACAGCAGCAGCATCCCTTTTATATCTTCGGGCGTTCCCCTGCTCAGCAACAGCATCAACAGCCACAGCAACAGCAACAACAACAACAGCAACAACAGCAATTTCAGCAACAGCAACAGCCTCAACAACCGGGTATTATATTTCAACTGCCAAAATTACTTAACAGTATACAGATCAAGACAACCATAAATTTTAACAGAGTAGATTTTTACTCCTGGAGTTTCGAGTTTGAGCTTCTTGCGCAGTCCGCTGGGCTATGGCCGTTCTTCACCGGCGAATTTACATTTCCTGTCGTGGGAACACAACTGGAACAGCAGAGTTTCTTACACGCCTCCCTCGGGGCGTATACAGTTCTTGTTCATAACCTGTCGCCGAAGGAGCAACTTGGCGTCCGATCATTTCATTCAAGCTTTAGACCAGCTGAAACTGCATGGAACCACTTGAAGGGGGTATACATGTCAAACGATACAATCACAGTGAGTAAGATTCTTTCGCAGTTGACAAGTGTGCAGATGATGACAAACAAGAACGTCATGGATTACGTTAATCGCGTCCGTACACTACACGATCAATTGGAGAAAAGTGGGGGGTACTTCCCTCGTGAGATGTATCTCACGGTCCTTCTTGTTGGCCTTGGACCCGAATGGCAACAGACGCGCGCCTTTCTGCGCGTGAACCCGAACCTTTCCGAAGCTGAAATTTTGTCGTATCTTCAAGCCGAACAGCAAGATCTGGACCTGCAGTCACAACGCAATCAGAAAAAAAGAATGCACTTGAGTTTTTACTCAAATCCAGAATCGCAACATCGTCATCCTCCGAAATATCCTTTCTGCCATTTCTGCAAGAAACCAGGACACACTTACCAGAATTGTCGGAGTCGACATCAAAACCGGCGCAGCACTTCACAGCCTTATCATCGCTCGCAGCAGTTACCGAAGCCACATCAGCCAACGCAGCAGTCGACAACTCAAACGCAGCAGATGCCAAAACCGCCGCAGAATCTGTCGCCGACACAGCATCGTTCTCCAGACTTTGCATCTGCAACATCAGGAAAAGGGGTATTTGGATGCGTTACCACAGTTGATGTTTCAGAAACAGATTTTGAGACATGACTTGAAGAAACCGCAAGTGCTGAAGGCATTCCCTTACCTCAAGTTTACGCTAACCTTGGTCGTGCCGCCACTCAACATGGCGTGTCCGTTCTTCAGTTCGGAGCACAGGGAACTTCTGGAGTTTCTGAACGCGTCCTTGCACTTGGTCCCTGGGATCATCCAGAAGAAACAGATTATCAACACGTGGATATTGATTTTCGAGCAACTACTGTACCAACGTCTTCTCGAACTGCAGCTGGTATACTTACCGCACTGGATACTTGGGAGTTCAATACAACCGATGAAGGCGCCAATGCTTGGCGAACGTTTTATACAACCCGTGAAGCTCTTCAAGAAACTCTAGCTCCACTTTGGGGGGAAATTAGTGGACTAGCAGCTAATGAACCTGACATCGTTGAAGAAGCCGACAAGGAAGAAGTCGCTGAGTTGCCGTGTCCAACAGTAGCTGCCGCCGAAACACCCGCCACGACATCAACAGAAGCAGTATCAGAAGTTGCAATCGCAATTGCAGCAGCACCTTCAAATGTCCCGTTACCACTTACACGTTTTGTCGAAGGAGAGATTGACAAGTCACTAGCACTTTCTCCTTTTATTATTTCTTCTTTTTATACTAACGCCGATTTCTACCTGCGATCATCAGGACACAAAACCACCGAAGATATCTGGCATAAGCGGTTAGGACATCCATCACACGGGATTTTAAATCATTCAATCCGCACAGCAGTTCTTGATAAAAACAATCTACTTTTACCTGACGGCACGGAGATGAAGCCACAGTCTCGTCCGACGGTTTGCACCACGTGTCCGGTTGCCAACCTTACTCACGATCTGTTTCCAAGTCATTTTCCTAGCTCAACCGTTATAAACTGATGCAGAAAGTCTAAAGCGACATACTAAACTTACCTGAAGCAGGACCTAAAGGCGAGCAGTACGTGATAACATTCATCGAAGCATCTACACGCTACGTCTGGACAGCAAACCGTCCCGCTCGTTATCTCGCTGACTCCGTCTTCGTCGCATGGCTCGCTGTCGCTGAACGAGAGTCAGGCGTGAAACTGCAAGAATTCCAGAGTGATGGTGCAGGGGAGTACACCAGCAACACTTTCACATAATACCTTCAGACACTCGGCATGAAACGGAAGCAGTCTCTGCCACATGCACACCAACAGATGGGGGTAGCAGAAAGGATGAACAGGACTCTGCAGGAGAAGATGTGTGCTCTGCTGACGCAGGCAGCCCTTCCACCGCGTTTTTGGCCGTATGCGATGGACCATGCCGTGCTGTTACACAATCTTCTTTCTTCAACGTCCCTGCCCGAGTTTTCCTCTACGCACCTGCAGTGGACACGTACAGTGGGAAGTACCAAACTTTTACGAGTGTTTGGGTGTGTCGTGCAGTTTCGTCCTCCAACTGCAGCACTCGGGAAGTTTTCAGAACGAGCAAAATGGGGGTTACATCTCGGCATCGAAATACAGTATCACGCATGGAAGATTTTGGATCTTCGCTCCAACCAAATCGTCCCATCACGTGATTGTCTCTTCTATGAAAGACTCACCTTGCCCATTTTTCGTGCCCACCAGGCAGCAGCTGCCAACTCCGCCAGGCTGTTCGAAGGCTCGCGTGCATTTGCAACTGACGAAGCCGAAGCTGATGTACAGGACGAGGCCGTTTCTGAAGCTTCCGAAGCTACCGCAACAGACATTCCCGAACCTGTCACTTTGACCGGCATACCCGAATTTATTCCTCTTGCCAATGCTGACCAGGATGACGTTCGCGAAGTCCACCTCAGTTACGAACGGGATCGCCAACAGCAGCCGATGCCCGCCGTTTCTGACGAAGCAGTTCGTGTTACACTTGATAAAATTGGGGGGAAAGAAGGACCAGAAGGAAATTTCGCAGGTGCAAACGAAGAACGTCCGCATTTTAC